ATACAGGCTAGAAAAGCTCATGTTTCGGCTGTTACTTTGCATGGGGTCTTCTTTTTTCATTATTGTGGCCACATACCACTGCCAGTTGTACAGAATAAAGAATAAATGCTATAATCCTCTACAGGCCCTTGACAGTACCGTTCACACATTCCAGGAGTAAACTTTTACTCAATTGCTTCCGAATTTCATTTAAATAAAAAATCCTAGAAAGTAGATGTGATGTTTTGTACTGCTTTACCTGCACAAGGAGGTGCAATAATTCTCTTCATATGCCTATTTAAAATCCTGGGCATGAATCATTACAACTGACCCATATAGAAGCAAGGAGGGTCAAAGCCTGTTTTCTTTCCCTCTTTAAAATGCCAACAGAATTGTAGGTTAACAGTGACTCATGTTAACCTTAGCTGAGTTGGTTGAACCTCAGGAACCAATAGAATTACTGTTGTTTTATACGTTATTTAGAGATTCCCTATACAGACTCCTTTTAAATGAGGAGTGTACAGGCTGCTGGCTCTGGCATCCTGGCAGATGTTTTTGATGACATATGTTAGAAATCAGGTCCCACCTAGGGAAACCTGATCAGGAGATAGATGGCTGCTGTGGACCCAAGCTTTTTCTCAGCATGGACCCAGAAGTGCAGAAAGTTTGAGTGCCAGTGGTTTAGAAGTGGCACCCTGCAGTGCTGATAGCAGAACTTTGTCCATAAGAGGTACATTTACAGGTCTTTTTGTGGTCCCTTGTCAGTGTAGAGTGGTGACGGCCGATAAAGATACAAGGAGTCAGTTATGTGCAGAAAAGATGTCTGAATCTTCCTTTATTTTCTCATCTGCTTTTTTATACCCCTTGCTAGCAGCAAGCAGTATCCTTATTTTAGGTAAGCAAGCAACAGCATTTTCATTGGCTAGGATCTGTGGGCGATACATTTGGGAAAGCTCAAGGCCTTATTGCGGTTCCCACATCCTAGGCCTACCAACTTTACAGCCTGCCTTTGTTTTCTCCATTAGGCCTGCATACTGACTTCCTTATCATCAAGGACACACCCGAAAGTTTTCCCAGTTTCTCCACCCTGGGAGCTAATAGACCTGCTATTAACCCCTTCAATCCCTGTAGTTCATGTTCCTTTGATTTAACTTAGGACACGTGGAAAAGCACACACATACTGTTAAGATATCTGGTACAACTTTAAATTGAATGTGAGCATTTGCTCTGGAGGAAAAATTCTGCCAGATTCTGTGCTTTTCCTGGCTAAACTTGGTCCAGTAAGATTTACAGCAGTGACTGTATGATACAAATTGGTTTTTTTTGAAAGTTTTTAATTTTGTCTTGTATCATATTCAGGTCTCCAATTCTATTTACTGTTTCTTATTTAGGAAGATCCTCTGTTTTTTTTATCCACTTCATGTACATCTTGGAAAATAAATGAAAACAGGCAGGACTCAAGCAATAAAAAGTCCTAAATAAGGAAAAGACAGATAGGCACTTTTGGAACTTTTAAATGAAAACCTGACACAGGAAGAAGAAATAAGTCTAACAAATAAACTTCCTATTTGTTGAAAGATCAAATAGAATCGAAAATTGAGCAGTTAATATAACACATCTTTACTGCCTATGCTGCAGAACAACAGAGCTCTCCTTGCAGACAGAACAACTGGGAAGAACTTGAAAAACTTATCATTCAATACTTCATGGTTTTTTCTCCATTGTTCACATTTATATGTAGCCAAATCTTCAAATCTTGACCTACATTATACTGACTCCCTGCCAAGACAAAATTGACACTAGGCCTATATTGTTGCTAATGCTAGAGCATATGAAACATTAAGGGTGGTGTTCTCACAGCTACAGCTTTTCAACAGGGAATTTCATGGCCTTTTGAAGTAATTCAACATATTGTTTACAGAGAAGTTCCAAAGACAGCTAGGCACCTAAATCACTTACTACTTTGAGAACACTGCTTTAAAAGGACTAAAATGAAGTCAGGAGCTAGGCCAGAGACTAGCAGAGTTTCAAGTAGGAGTCCTATAGAAAGTATTTCGTTTATAAGCCAAAGTGAGATATCTGTGACTGCCAACCTGCTTCAGGTCCCAGCTTGTGTCTGACCGCTGTGCAGCTCCCTGTCTCATGTATCATTGCCAGAGATCTTGGAGTGAAAACTGTACTGACAGCCCTTCTGGCAATGCTCAGGGCTAGGTACATGTCATTCCTCTCTCACAGCAGTGTTGGCTGTACAGCACGATCAGTCGTTGAAACTTGCTCTGGTTGGTAAACAGAGCAGGAGAGACTTGCAAGATTCACAGGGAGAAGGTGTTGAGCAATGCTGCTCCTCTGTTTCAATGAGCACACACACAGATGTTTCTTCAACAGCTTCCCAGCTTCTTGCAATGCCATGCACAGAGCCAGGCCTTACTTGAAAGAAATATGGAATTCCTGTGCCACATTTTTTGTTTCTGTAAGCCAAGTCAATGGAATAGTCACCCTTCTGATATTTGTAAATAAGTTAGCGCAGCATTTCCCCTGTTGGAATTAACTGAGTACCTAATTACAGTGATAGAGAACTATTCTTTCTTGGCCTAATTAGAATATTGAAATACTGTACTTATCCTCCACTAAGGCCCATGTACATCTGCATGACCAATCTTTCTTTAAAAAACAAAACCAAAGCATCAAAATGACACATGGGCCTATGTGTTGGTAAAAAGACAGGAGCAAATTTGTGTATGTCCTATCATGAAGGTATTTTCTGTGAATTGGGCCGTAGGATTGCAATTCTAAGCAGCCACACAATTAATTCTTCAGTTATGCCATCCAATTAGGACAAATGCTTCCTTTCTAGTTCAATTAGAGATGGGTAAGCTCGTTTGAGCTTATTTGTATAAAATATGTGCTCATTAAACAAGGCCTGGATTTTGTTCAGCTTGTTAGAAATGTTGTGAAAAAAGAGCTTTCTCACACTGCCTCTGGCCTTTTTAACCCTTAAAGGACCACAAGTCTGACAATCTATCAGTCACCCTCAGAGTGCAGTACACTTGCATCTCCCAGAAAAAAGGTGATTGCGCTACAGTTGGTACATTGGTAAAATTCATGCAGCCATGGAGATAAATATCTGCCACCATCAGATATCACTTATTGCAACACCTATCCCTGTGGGCTAATACAACTAACTGATAATGGGTTCGTAGGGTTTGCTCATCTTTTCAGAGCTCCCTGGCAGCAGAATGAAAAAGACACAGAACCTGACACAGAACCGGCTGACACAGAACCTGTCTGCTGACAAAAGAGCAGGGGACTTATGAAACAGTATGTGAATATCTCTCTGTGGAATGAAGTAGAAAGGTTTACACTGAAACTATACAGTATGAAGACACAAAGGGCACGAAGCCAGTTCAATTGTTCCAAGGAAAGACAATGCTAATGATTTGAGCCTCCCGTTTTTCCCCTTCCCTCCTCTAATGTCAATTGTTTCTTTTGTGAGCTCATCTATTCAGCAGAGAGTAGTTAACTTCTGCGATAAAAGCACCTGCATGAATCTCATGCTGAAAAATGCCCTGAAGCAGGACATCACTTATTCAAACAATACCTGAGGAAAATCAAGCACTCCATCCTTGTGATCAGGGCAGATTTTCTTCTGACATGCTCCTTCGGCCTTGGGTCTTTGAAGGATGAAAGACTGAGCCACCTTCCAGGCTACATGTGGCACAGAGAAATGAACCCTTACCAGACTGTCAGGCACAGCTGAAAGCACCCAAGCCTGGGCAGAAGCCATGGTACAGGGGCAATGCAGAATAGGAAGCTCCCAGATGGCTAGAAAAGGCATAAGGCCAGACTGTCAAAGACTAAAATCTAATTTATCCCTCTTGGATCCACACATTCCCTCATGCTGTCAGCAAAATGGACAAATGCAAATCACAGGCTACAAAGTGGTAGATGGCAGCCTCAGCCAAATGAGCTCTGGGGCAGGACACAGCTGTCTTACAAATGCAAATCCACTCCTTTTCTCCTGCACGTGAGGGAGATTAAGCATGGAACAAGTGCACATTCAAATATTGTGTGCACAAACACAGCTCTTGCCCTTTGAAATCCTGGCCCTGAACACCTCTAGTTTCTGCTGCGATGATTAGACCTTTGTTCTGACAGGCAGAGGAGGAGAAAGCTGAATTGTGGTTCCCAGGTCTCCAGGTGATTTCCATAGGGCAGGAAGAAGCCCATAGACTAAACAAAGCTTGGATTTGGGGTTTGGAGCTGTCATTCAAAAGCTGAAAGAAAATGGTGTGGCTCTGGAGGCATGACTGTCTTGGCCTATGAGCTGCTTGCAGGCATTTGCAGGTTGACAAAACCTCTGAATCAGAGGGAAAATGTAGCACATATACAAGATGATGTTCTAAACTGTGCATCTGGGACCACATCCAAAGTCCACTGAACTTAACAGAAACCTGGACTTCAGAGACCGTGTAATGGTATAGCAATGACACATAACTCAGCCCTACAGTCAGGGCTTTGGGCTTTCTCCAGTGCATGGTGCTGAGTTTCTTACTGCCTCAACATCTGCACTTTCAGGATTGCCTTGTGTGTGATACATGGTGTGAAATAAAGACATTGTAATTTTTAAAATTTTATTTAATTACTGCAGATTTATGATGACATGGTATTTATGACCTTGTATTTTCACAGGGGTCATGTTGTCATGTCTTAGTCTTAATGATTGCTTCATTACAGCTAAATGGGATGAGGTTGAGGGAAATGCTGGTTTTGAGCTGAGACCTACTGGGACCCGTCATGTTGTATTAAAAAATAACTAAATGCAGATCTTTCTGAAGCCATGTGTCAGACAAAAATAACATCAGAATCTCTTTTTAAGGATATGTTGGTCTCAAGATGCCTTTTACTTTCAGAGGAAGAAGATTTCCTAAATAATCAAAATGCAAAGGGGAGACCTTCATAATTGGCAACCCGAAGAGCCAGTGCAGAGGTATATCTTCTTTTCTCTCTCACGCTATTGACAGGTAACTTGAAGTAAATAGAAATGCTGAAAGAGAGGACCTAAGGAGTGCAGGGTCTCCCCATCAGTCACACAAGGGGAAGGAAGCTCTTCTGGAGGTAAGCAGCATGTAATTTTCTCTTACTTCTGCAAGTGAATGATGCTTTTCTACGAAGGAATTTTTTTTTTACTCTTATTTTCTGCTGTGGCAGTGAGTAGAATCATAGGGAGTAATTTTACTGTCAATGTGCTTGTCCCTCAAAGTAGGACTTCAAATACTTTCAAACACGTTAATAAATATGTAGGCCAAAAAAAGGAGAGAAAATATAACAATCTGTGGTTATCAAAGAGACTTCAAGAAAATTTTATTTTTTGGTTAGGTACTATAATGATCCAAGTAGTGTTAGTATGGCCATGATTGCCAAACACAAGTCAAAGTCATTTCAGCTGAGGTTCCCCCAACTTCACTTTCTGACTGCTAGCAAATCATTCTGATTTTATTTCAAATTGTAATTTGGTATCAGATAAGTGACTGGCCTAATTCCCAGCTCCCATGCACCTTTGCCCTCATTTTATTTCAAACTTTATTCTAATTGTCAATATCCTCAAAAAAGCCAGGCTAAAAATGTGTAAAAGGGTTACTTTCAGTTATCAGATGGTGTAAGATACTTATCTGTAGCTATGGCAGTTTCTGATGTTACACAGAGAAGAAAGAAAACAAACAGCCACCTGAGGGCATAACTTTTACACCAAGCATTGTGTGCCCTAGTATGGCTTAAAGATTTTCAGTAAAGTAGTTCAAAAAATTCCAAGACATGTAAATATTCTCTAGAACAATGTGATATATCTTTTTAACTCTGATTTTAAACCATTTTTGCTGAAAATAAAGACCCATGGTTCTCTACAATGAAGCGTGCCCTTACTTTTTCTTCCCTAATGAACTGACAGAGTAATGACACAGATAGTCCAGGTAACAGTAGTCCAAATATGTTAATTTTACTACAGGCAATTTCCCTGTGGGTAAAAAAAAATAAAATCTTTGAGCACTCATGCAGCCCAGAGAGAGGGAACAACTGTCTGTTATCATGCCAAGCACTTGGAACAGGTGTCATGTTAATAAACATAACTTGTGTCATGTTAATAAACATTTACAATTGCAAGAGGTTAAAGGTGGAAGGGGAGTGTGGATGATAGAGATACCTCAGGAATTTGGCTGGCAGATAACATGGAGGGCTAAGAGGTCTACAATAAGCTAAGAAAAGATACAAGTGAGAAACCTTGCAGGATGAGGAATGAGCCTGGCTAAACTGCTAGATTTGCTGCCTATCCCACTCCATCTGAGACTGAAGAGAATATTTTTCATCAGTACATCTCCCTTCATTTCACTGAACAAAGAGGTACAAAACTGCAATGTCTGTGAGACTGTTAATGGAGTCCTGATAACTGGGGCCAAAACTAAGTTACCAACAAGAGGATTTTCAGGTACTGCTGCTGCTTCCTGGCAGTGAGTAAAGGAGGATGCACAGCTCTTGTTTTGGCATCAGGCACCAGCATTGTCCCTCAGCAGAGGTTCTTCATGAAGTTAATCGGACTTAGGATATTAAGGATAAACCTTGCATAGAATAAAAGAAATTATAAAATTAGATGTCAGGAACTAATAATCATTTTTTCATGGTGGAAGTTGGTCATCAAGTTGGTCACAAGGATTTCAGATTCAGAAAAGGGATATTAGAATCTGCTGATTATATCTAAGTTATTTAGGAGGTAAAGATAAAGCCCAATGAAAAAGAACTACAGAAAGGCTTCACAATACTAAGATATTAAGCAAGAAAATGGCCAATGAAATTCAGTGTAGATAACTGTAAACAGGTGCATGTCAGAGACAAAATTTCAGCTGTACTTACACTATGAGAAGCTCTGGTGGGGCTGTTTCTATACGGTAATAGGATCTTGGTTTTCACAAAAAAAAAAAATCAGCCATTGGTCTATGTGGGTCAGAATGGCAATTTGAGTGCTTGGAATTATTTGAGAGAGAAAAAATATCAGAGTAGAAAATGCCATGGTATAACCTTTATTCTCCAATACCTTCAGTCCAGTGTAGTCTCTCAAGGACACAGAAGAAATGGAAAAGGCAAAGAGAAAAACATCAAGACTGATCAAATGCTTTTGTTCAAAGAACAATTAAATAGACTAGAGCTCTATGGGAAAGGCTACTGAGGTTGTTGTTAGTAGTTCCTAATGAGGTAATCAGTGCAATGGGAAAAAATAATAGGGAAAATGGGAAAAAAAATTCCTGCACCATTTCCTCTGTTGCAGGAATCAGGGGACGTCAAATGAGATGAGCGTGGAAAACAAAACATGAAATACCTCTGCACTGAGTGTGCAGTTAAGCTAGGGTGCTCCACAGTGGGGGCATCAGGGCAGCGTGCATGTTAAGTATGCAGAGTTTCAAGAAAGAATTGCACAAATTCAGAAGAGAAAAATCTAATGGGGCCTACTGCTTATGAAGGCCCAGGAAATTACTGAACTTCTTGTCATCAGATATTAGGAAAGTATTCAAGAGAAATACACCTCTTTCTTTAATATCTGGCATTGGACACTGCTGTAGACAGGATGTTAGGCAAGGTCAGCCTTAGTTCTGTCTTTTCTAAGTTTTTAATCGCCTTTCTATTTGCAACACAACACAAACAATGACACAGCTGCGAATGCTTTTACTCTCTCACCATCACCACCATGGTGATCCATATAGCTGCTAGCATATGAAATCTGTTCTTATGCTTGAGCTTCACTAGGACCATTTCCCAAAATAAGCCAGCATGTGATTAACTTTGGATGTAGCTGTCATTGACTTCTATAGAACTTGATTTAAAATTATTTATCTGATTAAGAATTTTGCTGAAAAAGAAAAAACAAATTATTACTTTTATGAAAGCAGCCTACCATGTTTATGTCTTTCAACTGCAAGAAATCATACCACTAAGTAATGAGAAATATGTACGGAAGCTAATAACCCTTTTTTAAAAGTTTTGATTAATCTTCTCTCTGTTCCATTTTTCAAATTGAGTTCTGTGCTTTGAATTGGCAAATGCTGACAAGCTTCTTTATAAACAACATCACATCTTTTTTTTATTTTTTATTTATTGCATAAAGACAGGAGAGGACCAAGAATATGTCTCCCTTTGTGTAGCTGGATAGTTCTTATCTAGCAAGATATTGGCTGCTGAATTAGAGGAAATATTTCATCCACAGTAAAACTGGAGAAAAGATAATGGCAAGTCTGGGTAGTCTCGGTGAAAGAAATAACAAAGATGATCACATTTCTAGACTGTTCTGTTATTTGTTCTCCTTGTGATATATTTCATCACCTTCTTTTCAATACTAGTGTTAAGCCCTTGAAGAGATGATTACGTTGTGCAAAGGATCCAAAATGGATGAAAAATTACTATGAAGTAGGGAAAGGTGAAGAATTCATGACAAATGTACTGATGTACTGATGCTAGATTCCACAACTTCGAAGGCACATTTGCTACTCTCCAGAAACTTGACTGCTTTGAGGAGTTAAATCAGAAAAGCCAAGCGTTATAGGTAGTTTGCACAGGCAAGATATGAGATCCCCCTGTCTATAGGTGACAAACACTTCACAGAAAGCTAGAACCTCAAATTTCTCTCGATTGTCTCATGGGATAAGATGGCCATACAAGGCTTCTCCTCAGCCTGTCTGGACAAGACAATCCAGCCCCAGAAAAGTTTTCATCCCAGGAAAATGAAAGTGTTGAGGCAGGGATGTGGTTCAGCCTCTGAACTGCAGTAGTACTAATTGCTTATTTCTTACATGACACCATAACAAAAGTAGGCCTATCTTTGGGTTTGTGATGGTGGAGCAGAAGAGTCTGCATGTTCTTTCAATCTCTTCTGCACCTCTGCAATCCAATTCCTTCTCATGCCACTCTTAAGAGACAGAGGAGTGAAGTTATTTAAGTTTTGAAAAAATTATTTGAAATGTTAAGCAGACTGCTTAAGCTTACAGGCCAGCATGCTTCTGGCAACATGCAATCTCTTCATTTCCAGTTCTGGGTTTTCATCACAAAATCTTCCACCAGAACCAGAGTTCAGCCTCTAGGTACTTCTCCAGAGATCCAGTCAAACCTTCCTATGAATGCAGAGTGGCTGCACGCAACCCACACGTGTGAAGAAGAAAGCAGGGATCAGAAATTTATTTATTTTTGTCAAAAATGAATGACTGGAACCTCAAGTACACTTCCACTCTGAGGAATATATTACAATAGAGTTCACTATGTCTCTATATAAACATGGTATTCAAGTCTTTTCTCCAGTTTAATCAGGGTAGAGCCATGTCCACTGCAATCTTTTGAGGCACATCCTTTGCTCTTTGTTCTTTTGGTTGGCAAATCATGGCATTGCACTAGGACTCATCGAGGTTTTCTGACCTCCAAATACATGACCCAGAGAGACCTTCTAAGCTTTTCACTCTCATGGTAGGACTTCCTTTCTTAACCATGTCTGCCTTGTCCCTGCATGTGTCAGGCACTCATTATAGTTCAAGCTGTGCTGCAGACATCTGTATTCTGCATCCGGGAATGTGTGACAAATGCCTGCAAACAGGTAAGTATCTTCTAGGACTCTCCTGCTTAGCAGCTACTGTGGGGCAACAGTGAACAACAGGTCCTGACAAAACACACATATCATCACATCTACTCTTATGCTTCATTACAAGCCACACCAGACAGGCTTTGTGCACAAAAATAGTTCAACATCTACTCATAATCACTGGCAGCCCTGGGATCCAGTATGTTTTCAGTTTAACTCCCAGCATGTCTCTTTTTCCTTATTCTCTCAGGGAGATGAGACTGGATTTTTTCTAGAACACCCACCTACCTTGTATGAGCCTGGACCCAACTACCACACAGCAAAATAGAATCTGTGTGGTGAGGCCCATGCAGTTTCCCCAGTCAGAAAGTCAGATTGCCTAAGAAACTTCTCAGGAAGGGTTGCTCCACTGCTGGGATGAGCACATCTGCTCAGATTCATGGGCTCTGAGTCCCCTGCCTTGTGACCCGGTCGACCTGTGGCAGGGGCATCCAGGCTTTCTGGTCCACTC